TTCATTTTTTATAAGTGGCAACAGTGTGTTAAGTGCCAGCTTGACCAGCATTGGATTTGAAAACTCCTTATGTGAAATAGTCTTCTCCTTTTTGGTTTGTCCTGGTGGTGGCAGCTAACATTTTACTGTTGTGCCAGGCAGCGAACCAACTATATTATGAACATTCTTGTTTCATCCTTGTAACAGCTGCTGTCAGTTTTGTTAATAGATAAGGAAATTGAATTTAAAGCCTTTTCAATGTGCATGACCCTCTTTGTACTGCCCCCAACCAGTTAAAAACGGAAATTAATGTGAATCTAGATAAAATGGAATTGGGTTTTCTTTTGAGAAAATTGTTCATATAATTCTCTCATCTTTCTACGTGTTCTACTTAGTGGTAGAAGTCTGACTAACAATTAAGTAATTGTATGAGTATTAAAGACGTAGTATATATGGTGTCCTGTAGGGTTCTACTTAAACAAAACTCTTTAGTTATATTTATTTTCTCATTCCACTCCCACTGGAAAGTGCATGCACACACACACGTAAGTACATGTTGGACTGCTTCTTATTCTTGAATTTTATATTCAGCACGACAAATGTGTCAAGTGTCTAGAGATTATGTAACTTCAATACGAATTTAGGTGCTCGTTGTTAACTCAGCACAAATTTAAGACTTACCTCTGAGAACCTGGATGTTTTGTTTTTTGTTCAAACCAGACTAAAATATAGATAGTAGGAAATAGGATAGTTTCATTTGCCTTAACATGTCAGCTTTGGGGATTTAGAAAGCAAAAATAAAATGAACAAGAGTCCACTAATTTTTTTTTCCTCTTTCAATTTGCATGTAATCCTTCTTTTAGAAGGTATTTTTATTGCAAAAGAATTTTTCAAAGGTTGATGCTTTTTTCCTTGGACTAAGTGTTTATGATTATAATTGAAATATCTGATGACACTTGAATCCTACTTGGTCTTAAGCCTTTTGTGATACTGATAGTTTTAGGATAAATTCAGCAATTTTCTTTTAATATCTTTTTAAAACCAGCAGGTATTTTTAAAGTAGTTAATAACATGATTATACATGAGTACATATATGATGTTTAGCCACTGGGAAGAAAGAGAATATTGCAGGGAAAGATGGAGGAATAATTGGGATTTTGAGCCTAAAGAAAGACTCCAGGAAAAGTTCAAAATGTATAGTCAACTAACTTCTTGTTTATACTAATAGTATAGGAAACTACAAAAGGACAGAGCTGAGAAATGACCTGAAGTCTCGTTGCCTGGATTTGCAGCAATGTCGTGCCTCAGATTTTATTATATTTGGTTTTCTTAGCACAGATGCAGCAGTAAGTAGCAACGCCACTCCTTCTCAGTCGTCATCTATCAATGACATTTCATCCATGTCCACTGAGCAGACGCTGGCCTCAGACACAGACAGCAGTCTGGATGCCTCAACAGGACCCCTTGAAGGTTGTCGATGATAAGTTAGAAATAGCAAGCTTGTCATCAGTGAAGGAACTCTCGCTTCCATGGGCCTGAAATACTTGGGAGTTGATGGAACCAAATAGAAAAACTCCATGTTCTGCATGTAAGAAACACGATGCCTTGCCCCTACTCAGTCGTACTAGGCTTGCCTTGCTTAGATTATAAAATGAAGCAGATTATGTCTAAAGAAAAAAAGTGCAAACTACACTTTTGGAGATTTTGTTCAAGGTCATTTCAGGTGAGCAATTAGAATAGATGAATTTTTTCTTAAGTTGTACAGTAATAGTGACAGTTTCTCATCCTCAGTAACCGTTGGGACTTATATGCATGTGACCACAAATGCTTGCTCAGACTTGCCCTCTAGCACTTTGGAAATCAGTATTTATAAAGCCAAATAATCTTCAAGGTAGTGCTGCTTCTAGAATTGTCTCTTAATCCTCTTAAGTAATTTGGTGTCTGTCCAGAAAAATAGATTTATGTGTATTAATTGGCCACCATCATATTATCATATCTTACCGTCTTTTAGGGTATGAGTTATTTTCTTTCGTATTTCAGAAGGAATATAATTAAATCTATATAATAAATTTAAAATATAACTTTTCTTAAATTTGTCATGTTTGGGGCTGAGAATTACCACTGCTAAGACCAGGACACTTAGTTTTCTCTAAATTGTCTTAGTCTGGGTGACTGTACATTCAGCTTTACTGCATGATAAAATTTTAAGTTTTGTTTTGTGCTGCTTAAAACATATATACCTTTAAAATCCTATCTTCCCTATCTCTTTTTTCTTGGTCTTCTGGACATTAATTTAAAATGCTACCTAGAACTTCACCTTCTTTATTAGCCACCTAATACCTATGTCAATAATATGATGGCAAATAGATTCTTGAACCCATCACCTGCTGTTAGAGTAGAATTTTATGAAGTGATCACTAAAGATGATTGCAGTCACTTACTAAGTGCTTGCTTTGCTTGAGCCTGGACTGGGTCCTTTCTTACCTTCTGTCATTCAAGGTGAGATACGTGATTTCACAAGGCAGAGTTTCCCTCTTCCAACACAGCATTCTTACTCGACTTTCTTTCTTCTCTGAAAGAAACCACATAAATCCCCCTTTGGTCTGTTTTAGGAAGCAGACTGATTCAGAATGCCTGTTTATGATTTGTTTTCCACTTTGTGGAGGCATTTCCTTTTCCTAAGGGAAATCCATGAATGTTCTGGAAAAACTTCTGAGGGATATGGAGGAAATATCCTAAAGGGTAATAATTAACTATTGAACATTTTCTGATTTTAAACTGCTCACCTGAAATTGATACTTTCAGACTGATATGGAAATCATTCAAAGTTCAGTAAAATACTGAGTATTGAAGTGTCATTGCAGAAATGGAGTTAACGATGGTCACATATGGCTACCTGTGCTCATAATGCTTTTCCCTTGAGCTTATTCTGTTACAAATTCATATCTTGTGTTTAGTTATTTTGGAAGCTATTGAATCAACATTGTTCACATTCTGTAGAATGTGTTCTGAGGAGGAACTTTGATAAGAAAGTTTATTATAAATATTATCTAAAATATATGATTATCTCTACACCAGTTGTATCTTATTGGTCTTATCACTGGAAACTGGAACCCTTGATGAACAAAATTAATATTGAAGTAATAAATAGTTTTATATTGTGAGGTTTAGACACATTCAACTATAAGATGGAAATACTAACTTGAATTGAAGCAGAAACACCTATTACATGGCTTAGGATTATTTTGGTTTTGGAGGCTTGATGGTATTGTGAAGCAAGTTATCACTATACATATATACACATCTTAAAATGGCCTCCTCTCTAATACACATTCTTTAAAAAGACTTTACTAAATCTATCTTTAAAGAGAAAAACAAAGGTGAGAGTTTTAAAAATACATTATCTGTCCTAGGCTTATGTATACGCAGCACAGGGATGCTGAGGGCGCATCAAGGTTTCGCTGGGTGATTGTACATTCAGCCAGGCGCCATTTGTAAGTGGAGCTAGGTGCCGCACAGATTGGCTTTCTGCTTACTCATTCCTCTGTGTGTTCACGGATGGAGTCCGTGATGGTGTGGACGGGTTTCCTGCCAAGACCACCTTCCATCAGAGATCAGTGAGTGCACCTAGGACAGGCCACAGGGCTGCAGACAGCCCAGCTCCATAGAAATACCTCACCCCACTTCAGGGTCCTCCCTCCTGAGCCGAGATGTGCCAGGGCCCTGGTGCAGTGCAGATGGTTTCAAACTGTTCTCCATAGATAAATGCTGATGTTGGATAAAGAACTGAAAAATTTGCTCAATTTTTCATCTTTTCTATTTTATTTTTGTAATTTATATTGTACACAACCCTGAAGTAACTATTTTGGACACATATTTTTATAAACCAGGTAATTTATTATTAGCCTGGAATTTGGACTAGGTTCGTTTTGTTTGTTGACTTAGTTTTTTGTTAAAAAGGAAATGACTGCCTCCCCTATGTCAGGTCTTGATTTCAAGTACAGGTTCCAGAGAGCAGACAGAGTCTGTCAGAGTAGGAGAGCATTCTCGAAACACATCCTGCTCAGTGTTGATCAGCTTTGGAAACAGGAGATTGAAACAGGGCTCTGTGTTTATATCTGCACCATGGAACTCAGAGCCGCAGTGCTGAAAGGAGAAAACCCTTGGCAGGGCCCCTTACTGACACCCAGAGTCCATAGTTGAAACACTGAATGGGATACTGGTTTAATCCAGATTTGATGCTGTGTAAGTCATGGTAATGATGTATGATGAATTCGTCTGGTTGATTTCTAATGTAACTCCTCTGGTGTTTCACACTGGTAGTAAACACAGGTGTGACCTTTCAGATTGCATATCTCAAAAGTAACATTGCCTAATGTTTTATAATAAAATATATTATGTGTGTTTTGATTGGTGAAAATAATACAAATACATTTTAAAAGAGAAGTGTATAGCACGTCCAATTTTTGTAGTGTGCTTTTAAGTGACAGTTGACTGTGTATTTCTACATCACCATCTCTGATTACAGATTTAACATGAACACAGGTAGATATTGGAGTGTCGTCATTTCAATCAATATTAGCAAATGTTTTTAAATTGAAAAGCAAAACATTTTTGTTAGATCTCTTACTGAAAATATTCTGCAGATTCCTGAATCTGAGTTTTCAAAAACATGCAGTGCAAAATCGAGTACTCGGAGTAATTGTTTTCTCACAAGGTGTGGCCAGAAGAATCCACCAATCCGCCAGTCTTTCCTTGTATTACTTCAAATCCTTAATGGTGCTTGTGTGCTTATGGGTTTTTTTTTTTTTTTACATCTTTATTGGAGTATAATTGCTTTACAATGGTGTGTTAGTTTCTGCTTTATAACAAAGTGAATCAGTTATACATATGTTCCCATATCTCTTCCCTCTTGGGTCTCCCTCCCTCCCACCCTATCCCACCCCTCCAGGTGGTCACAAAGCACCGAGCTGATCTCCCTGTGCCATGCGGCTGCTTCCCACTAGCTACCTATTTTACATTTGGTAGTGTATATATGTCCATTCCACTCTCTCGCTTTGTCACAACTTACCCTTCCCCCTCCCCATATCCTCAAGTCCATTCTCTAGTAGGTCTGTGTCTTTATTCCTGCCTTACCCCTAGGTTCTTCATGACATTTTTTTCCTTAAATTCCGTATATATGTGTTAGCATACGGTATTTGTCTTTCTCTTTCTGACTTACTTCACTCTGTATGACAGACTCTAGGTCCATCCACCTCATTACAAATAGCTCAATTTCGTTTCTTTTTATGGCTGAGTAATATTCCATTGTATATATGTGCCACATCTTCTTTATCCATTCATCCGACGGCGGGCACTTAGGTTGTTTCCATCTCCGGGCTATTGTAAATAGAGCTGCAATGAACATTTTGGTACATGACTCTTTCTGAATTCTGGTTTCCTCAGGGTATATACCTAGTAGTGGGATTGCTGGGTCATATGGTAGTTCTATTTGTAGTTTTTTAAGGAACCTTCATACTGTTCTCCATAGTGGCTGTACCAATTCACATTCCCGCCAGCAGTGCAAGAGTGTTCCCTTTTCTCCACACCCTCTCCAGCATTGTGCTTGTGGTTTTGTGCATGGATGAGCCTCTTTCATTTTGCTTCTGGTTTTGAGGCACTTTAGGATGTTTACTACTTAAAACCATAGGAATAAAAGGGCCCACAATGGCTCACTCTCTTCACTGCTTAAAAGGACTAGAATCATTCCAGATGGATGAGTATCAATCTTAATTTTAAAGGTTTCTAGAAAAGGAAAACATTTCTCTTGAAAATGATCTGGGTTCCATTTCTCTATCTTACCCCCTTCCTACTTTCAGAGTAGATAGTACTAAAATACTTTTAATTTATTGACTTAAACGGTACATGTAGGTGGGTGGGATTTTTTTTTGGTGGGAGGAGGGGTAGTATTTCAGAATAACTTAGTATATACTTTCCTGAAGATTCTGTGGCTACTTGTGTAAATTTAAGTGCAAGCTTACCTTTGACAATAAGGCGGTTATTTGATATTTTTGGTCTTTAATCAGGAAAGGTGGTAATAAAATCCATAATAACAGTGACAGATTGGCCAGTGACGTCTCTTTAAAGCCAAATGTGACCATGATTTAAGAGGGATGTCATGGCCATTGGGAACCTTTCATTCGCTGTGTCCTCAGGGCTCAGGGGTCCTTGTGAACAAGGGTGTTTGCTGTGCCATTTCTGTGCTGTGGGGCTTTAGTGTTGGAAGGGAAATCCATAATCAGTTCTCTAACCCCCTGCACAACAGTGAGGAAGCTGCAGCCCCTGACCCACATCAGGAAGGGAGCAGCAGAATTGCCCTCAGAGTGCTGTCACACTCGTGCAGATCTTACTCTTCTTATAGTCATGAACACCTTTGAGAGTCTGATGAAAACTGTGATCCTCTCCTTAGAAAAAGGCCATGAGCACAAAATTTTGCCAAACTTTCTGAGGAATCCTGAACCCTGGTGGATACCGTATTAAGAGCCCCTTTCTAGAAGCGGCTTCTAGATGCTTCGTGGTCTTAGAGGGAAGCAGAGCCTGAAGGAGGGTTCTGCTGTCCTTTTCTGCTCTTAGTGGTTCTGACACTTTTACATACAGATCTTGGGTATAAATAGGGACATTTTTACTCTGAGCCCCAGCACAAGTCAGTGTTCTTGTTCTGTGTCAATAAGAGCATATAGAGTCTCAGTTCAGTGAAATGGATCATTTACAGTATTCCTTCCACATGGAACTTAGGTGCAGGGTAGGAACTATAGGCTTATAATACAGACTTCATAGAAACATAGATGTGATTAAATGCACCTCTTCATTTTAAAGAAGTAGTTCTGTGCTGAGCTTTGAAATAAACTCTTGGCTTTATTTTGTCTATGCACTTAGATTTCATAGAGAGTGGGAATAGACGCAGAGGTTCTCTAGTTCATACTGCCATTCAGGGTAGGAATGAACCTGAAGAGGTTACCCAGCCTCTGCTCAGATGGTTTTAATGAAGAGAATGCTCCTCCCACTGAATTTTTTGTAGTTTTGACTGTTAGAAAGTTCTTTCTTTAAC